CAGTTATAGACTAACTTTTAACCCTCCTCTTTAATGTTGAAAATATTATCAAAAGTATGAAAACCACTTTTTTCAATTTGAATGATTAAAAAGTCTAGGACAATAGTACAAATGTGGCTGAACTGGCTTTTACTGACATGAACAAAGTTAAGATTCTTGCCTATATTCCATTTTAGATATTTTTCAGTAATTTACAAAAAGTACTTTCTTCTCTTGCTGGTTAAATTCGCAAAAAAATAAATTTCATTATTACATTTCCTTAGTTATTTATATAAATATAAACAAGAGGGAATCTCTATAGTCACAGCACTTGAAATTATTTTAGGGATGATTAGAGCAAATTAATCTATGAGATCTTTTTTTTCCTTTTTATGTGCTATATTTGTGTGCACCAGCAATACCAAGTGTGCGGTGCTTGTATACACGATACAATTTTATTACTTATCAGGATCTCTACCAGCATACCCTCAAACTGAAATTCTTTTAGGCAGAATTAGAGTAAATTAATCTATGAGACCTTGGGCATAATCAAATATATCAATTGAAAGGGTTTGACCTCCTGAGTCCAAAACTGTAATTAGATCTCAAATTGGTCAAGAGATGACAGAGATACAAGTTAAAAGTTTGTACTTGAAAAAAGACAAAGTGCCATTCTGTGAACCTCTATGCCATGGCCAAAAACCAAAATAAAGAAGAAGAGCAGTGTACTTGAGTCATTTACTACTTTTTTGAACAGCATTAGAAAACAATCCATAGTATTGCCCTATACACGAATGTTGCTTTGGAAATTTAATGATCCTTGCTATCCTAATGGCCGATGAATTTCTTAGTTATATACAAAAGATACTTCTTTCATGAGTTTCTAATTCTATCTGTACAAAATTGTAACAACTAATTGCTTTAGCTGAGTAATGTGATTCACAGACTACTGTCCACACTACTTAACTACCAGTAAATTTCAGTTTTAAAAATAAATTTCAAGCTTCAAAAATTTACTGATAGTAACAATTGTTCATAATATTATCAGTGAATTATTTTTTAACAGAGTAAGTCCTGTAGTGAATGATTTGTATAAGTAGAAACCTTTGTCAATGAATTTACTGAATTATTTATAAGAAAACAAACCCTCTCTCAATTAATGTAGTACATGATTTATTGTCATGAAGTAACATTAAAAGATATGTTTTATGTTTCAATGCCTCAATCATTTCTTTTTCCAGTATTTTATTTAGTGCTATAAATTATCAGGAAGAAAACAAATTTACACTTCACCAAGGCTAGGCCTTGTGCAAACTTGTATACAGGGAATAGGTGATTACAGAATACAATAGGGTTATACACTGAGATTTTTAACCTCATATTTATGTTTTTGAGAGTTTTTGCTATGGTACTGATACTTACCTGAGATTTCTCTTAAGCTTTTTTGTTTAGTAAGATGTTTTATCACTGTGAAGCTGCTTCTGAGAACTCTCACTATTCTATTAAGATTTACAAACATCTCTCATTTTTGTATTAACACTTACTCAGAGATCACACCCCTGTACAACATTTACTGAGATTTCACACCAGAATGTAATTTTCAAATATGTTTCATAATCATTTCAATGGTTATTGAGGTCTCTCATCAATGCATTATTATTCTGACATCTCACCATTGTGCCCATATTTAATAAGATGTCTCATCACTGTATTAATATTTAAAGAAAAAAACTTTTATCACTATTGAAGTTTGCCTCATACCTCACCACTATAATATTTCTAACATTTCTCACTTCTGCTGATGTTTCAGAATATAGTGATATTCATCGAGACTTCTCCCCAGTATATGATGCTTAGGAAGATTTCTCACAACTTCCAAAATGTCTTGCTTACAACTATCGTAATAAAAAAAAAGTTCTTCAGAAATTCAAACTTAATTTTTTAGAATGGCTTACGGATGCATTCACACCAGTTACCATCCTACCTGCTACAGCAAAGAAAGTGAGTTAGAAAATATCAATGAAGATGAATGCCAGCCAATAAAATGTAACAAGTAGACCCTTGCTTTCCAGAAAACAAATTAATCCCTAGTTCTGCACTAAAATTATAAACTGTTTAAAGCCCTACCATTACGTGGTTTATTTACTACAAAATTTTTTTTTAAAACAAAAATTTATCATGAAAGATTTATGCCATTTTAGCATCTCCGAAATTACCTTGAGCTGTGTAATAGCAAAAATGATTTTCATTTTCCTCTTATCACCCATTCATTTTTACAGAACTACAAAAAAGTTTGGAAGATAGACTAGTACTTCAGACAGAAATCAGCATTCCAGGAGTAACAAAATTTAAGTCTCCAGCAAAAATCTTCAGTGGTTTTTATAATAGTGTTTCTTCAGTTTATTACTGATCACTCAAACTCCCCCGTCAGTCAATAAAAACCTAAAAAATCACTGAATCTGTCTATGACAGATTTAGAACATTTGCTGGATATCGTATTCTACATTACAATATTTGGTTGTGTGGTACTTGCATGTACTGGAAGACAGAAAGCAGTATCCCTCAAAATGCTAATGACATAGTAGTAGGCAAATGGAAAGAAAAAACAACAACATTATTTGCATGTACATAACAATTCTGCACCACATAAGCAAACTATAACACAACTTATACGTCACCTGCTTACGTATGAGAAAATGCAAAATATAGGAAAATACTATCATTTTTTATGAAATGCTGATTTAATTTTGAAGGATCCATAGGTTTAAAAAATTAGCAATTAGATTTTCCAAGAAGCTGTGCTAAAACATATCTACATATTGTATTATCAGAGTTTGTCTGTTTAAATGCAACTGTAAGAAGAATTACTAAACACTGGCATTGGACTATTGGGAACAATCACGTTTAACAAGTACCTGGAAGAACAAAGTGAGATAAATAGAGGTTCATTATAAAGGAAAAACCACAATTTGTGAAGGAATTAAATGTAGTGTGAAACAATGTGACAATTTTGGATATTTTCACTGGAGCACAATAGTCTACTAAGGTGAACTGATGAGGTCAAAAAAAAACTGTTGAGATACCATGTTTTCAAGCTACAAGCTTTTACAATGAAGAAAAGGATAATTAGTTAGGAGAGTGGATCCCTGGAAAAAGTTCCATTGGTCATGCAACACCCACTGTAGGGGACACGTACATGGCCAAGTGGAATGAGGAGTTCTAGAGAAGGCATGGTCCCCAAAAGAGATAGAACCTCTCACACAGAATGTGAAGGTGAGGTGTGAACTTTGGTGACCAGATGCTCAAGGTACCATAAGTGAGTGGGAGAAGGTTGGGCACAGATGAGGTGGGAGTTGAAGAGAATTTCCAGGGATATTGGGTTGGGGTGAGAAAGGATTTGGAAATCTTCACAAGCGACCCCAAATGAGCAGCTTCGTGAAAACATAAGGGGCCAACATTATACTGAAAGGATGAGCACAGAACTGGAAAATGTGATCCCCATGGATGAATTGGAGAAAATCGTCTTTTGGGGGGACAACAAAGAAACGGGAGTAAAACCCTGAGAGAGATCATGAACCCTCTAAATGACCTGCTTCTCCAACAAATTCAACACCCTGCCTCCAGATATTGAAGGTAAACAGGAAAGAATCAGAGCAACTCATCTTTTAGCAGAGAAATATGCCTAGAGGTCTGTAAACCAAGACAGATGGGCTCTTAGAGGTCTTGAAACAACTGAATGGCTACTGGCAATTAGGCCAGAGAGAGTGAGATGTCAGACAGAAGTGGGATGGGAAGAGGTGGAAGGTGAACACAGGAACGGAACAGAGAGTGAAAGAAGGGCCAGAGCAAGAGACAGAGATGGAAGGGCAAGGTTGGAACAAATGGAAAACTAAGGAAATAAGGAAAGATTGGTGGCAAGCAGCTTCACCCCATCAATACAACCAGGGACACCAACAACAACAACAAAAGTTTTTCTTTTTGACTTTTTTAATAATGATTTTTTTCAATGACACAAATGAAATTATTTCCAAATAAACTTTAACTATTGTTCCAAACATTTTGTATCATAGCTATGTAATGTAACAATAATTTCAGTTATGTGCACCCAATTTCAAGTTGCACTAGTGATTAGTGATTTTTGGTTTTGTTTAATTAATTTCATGCAGAGTTCATTAAATAAAATATTTTTCTAAAGCTAAGATACTATAAAATTATTTGCTTTTGCAGAAAGTTGAAATAACAACTGGACAAATCTTCTCAGAACTGTCATACCTCTACTTAACACTTGAAGAGGAGTGTATGTTTGTAAACAACAGCAAAAGTGAAATGGAAAGTAATTAAAAGATCTTATCGTTTGTGTTATTTTTTGTCAAACAGCCAAAACTAAACCTGCAGAAGATGAATCAATAATTCTGGTTACATACAGTTTCATATTTGGTCAACCAAATGTTCAGTTTAAAGCTTACTTGAGTCAGCAACTTGTATGTTTAGAATACATTATCACCTGAATGAACCAAAAAGGGAAAAGGGTGTTCATAAGCATTTATATTCCATCACTAGTAATGGTGAACCTGATAATATTTAATCATACCAGGGTCTATTAGTACTCTTAATATGTCATTCAAATCTAAAAAACTGTTATGAAAACATATTTTACTTGTGAGTGTATTTGCACAATTTTCCATAACATGCATAATACATTTTGTATTATGACTATTTTGTGTATTAGAAGAGACATGAGCATCTTCATATCTGTACATGGCAACCAAATTTGGTTGTATTAATGTATACATAAACAACAGAATATATATGTATATACTAAGAAGTCATGTTACTGTAGAGTAAAAACTAAAATTATGAACCACTTTTTTTAAAATGGCAAGTAGGGTTAGTCAGTATAATTTATCATTACATTTAAATATATTAATAGTGTTTGTTTAAATTTTGTCCCTGTAATTACTGTAAAATTACATAAAAAGCAGAGATTCTTCACTAATAATAGTAATATATGTTACACTTCATGTTATGATATTTTAAAATCAAAAGATCAAACAAATTTCAATGTTTCATTATATGACCAAACTGTGGTCACACATAAATTTAGATCTGTATTCTTTATCTGGCCAAAACATTCGTTTTCTTTATTTTAAACTGTTATCTTTAAGCTAGTTTTCACTGAGAATTACAACTTGTACCCAGTTCAAGTCCCTTATTTAGCCAACTACATGTATACTATGAGCTCCCTGTTTACAAAATCAGTCACCCTCACTCTGAATAGCAGTGTACACTTTAATCTTTGTATTGTGACAGCTTTTGAGCACACAGTGTTTTGTTTATTTTAAAGACCAGGAAAAACAAAATATTTTCTATTTGTAGCTTATATTAAATAAAACAAATATCTTGTAGGCTTTTTAAAACTAACAGTCACAATTGCATATTAACAAAAAAGAACAAGTCCAATTTAGGCTCTGTGTATATCCAAACAAATAAAACAAATATTTTGTACGCTTTTTAAAACTAACAGTCACAATTGCATATTAACAAAAAAGAACAAGTCCAATTTAGGCTCTGTGTATATCCAAACTGTCACTTTCTTTATGGAAGAATAAATTTTGTAAAATTTTTTACTCATTCTATTTATTACTATCAGATAAGTCCCCGGTTTAACAATCTGTGGTATCATTTTTCTTCTGATGTTCAAAGTTACTGTCATTTAATATATATATGTGGCTATGGTGGAACTTTTACACATTATTAAGAATTCTGTCCCTGTTCAGTAATGTGTGTCTCTTTTGAATTACACATGTTTATCTTTTAACTCAGTGGTTCCCAAACTTGGAGCTGCAAGTAAATTTAAAGGAAATAGTAGCATATACACAAAATACACAATACTGTTAAGGTACTCAGTAGCTATAGATTCACTGGAGTGCCTCAGTCAGGATGCAGAGTATTCTGGTGGGCCTCGTGTAGAGAAAGTTTGGGAACCCACGTATTAACTGCATAAAAAAAAAGAAAATTTTACTATTTACTATTTCTTTATTCACTAAGCCTAATCTGAGTACTACCAGTAACTTCTAATCAAAGTAAGCTATATATGTCACGGAGCAGTCACCTGTTTACTTTTTTCATTGTTAACTTTATAAGCTGAATTGATGATCATAATAATATAAATAGTTACAGCATAAAATAGAACTTACATTCTGTAAACCTTGTACATTTCTGTTTAAAAAATATATCTAGACTAAAATTTTACAACTGCTATCGAATCTGACTGCAAAGTGCTGAAGTAATCTTATATTTATCTTTGTTAAAGATTTCATTTTGCTATATTTCTGAAAAAACAAGTCTTCATGATTCACTTAAAACACTAATAATATCTGTTTTGACTTCTTTGTAAAACATTCAGTCTTATGATGATTGCGAATGACTTTCAGTGTCAGAAGAATTAACATTTTCACTATTTGTAGTGCTAAGATCAAGTGGCAAAACCTCACTTGGTGAAAAGGAATACACTGCTGTCATTTTATCACTGGTATCTGAATATCTGAAATTTTCGTTACCCAGTTTGTGGCAGGATTCAAAGTAGAATGAATATTCTGAGAAAGGATGCTTACACTTAACACCAGATCTTTCCAATTTGGGCCTGAGAACATTAGGCTTAGTAACTTTAGTCTTAACAGGAACCTTACCTTGATGACCAGTGAGAAAAGTACAAGATTTATCAACTTTAATTTCTGGAGAGTTCCTGTGAGAATAATTTCCTAACTTGTGAGTTTCAGAGTGAATATTCTGTTCAGTGTTATTTTGATAGTGTCCACAGGTTTTCCGGTGTTTGCGAAGAGAGCTAGGATCAGTGTACCTCTTGCTGCAGCCTTCCACTTTACATACATAAGGTTTTTCAACAAAATGTGTTCGTGTATGCTTGAATCTATCACTAGAGTTAGTGTAAGCCTTGCCACATCCTTCTACGTGACACACATAAGGTTTTTCCCCTACAGGAAAAAAAATAATACTAAAGAAAATTAAACCATTATTAAATGAACTGAAATCAGTTAAGAGTCTTTTACAAATCATTCACTATGATAATTTTTTTCAGTTATTTTACCTCATATTTTTATAACATGCAATATGCAAAACTATTACTTAAAGTTCAACAAACTAGGACTTTCTGATCAGTAGCTTATGTATTTTGAGTCCTCTTTAAAATGTAGCAATGTATTCTTTCAAGTTTACCCTTACAAATGAAAAGTAAACACTACATACAGTAGGTATGATAAAAGCATAAAAATATAACTGACTACTGTACCTGTATGACATCGCATGTGAATTTTTAAATTTTCTAGTCTTGCAAAACATTTGCCACATGCACAAACATGTGGTTTTTCATTTGTGTGGCATCTCATGTGCATCAGCATCTTGTACCTTGATATACAAAAATAAATAAATAAATAAATTTGCAAGAGAACAAACAAATATACTACATATTATCTTCTGTTAAATGTAAAATACATTAAATTATTTGTTATTCAAACAAGAAAGTTATCTTCTGAACCAAAAATATTTAAGCAAAAAAAAAAACTCACTTATGGAAATAAGAAAAAAAAAGAAGAAACTTTTAATATTCTTCCTTTACGACTGGTCTACAGAAAAGCCACTGTATGACATTACTTTGTTGTTCTTTTTTTGAAAACATCAAAATCAAATGTAAAATTTATGAACCATGTTGGGCAATTCATTAGGGTACCAAGCTACCAGTGGTGTGACTTCCATGCTTCACTTTGTCATCATATTGTTTGAAATTATTTTGAATGTTTTTGTACATTTAAAATACCTTAATAACAAATTCTGAATCTTAAAATTTTAGGAAGTATCAGAGGAAATTTAACTGTCGTAAATATTAAAACAAACTGACAATTATTCAGATAATGCTGAAAAGGTTTGTGACTTATCAAAAGACAACTTCATAAAGCACAGTAGATTCTTGCAATATATTTTAAACAGTACAGACTTAGTTTCACGGAGAATTTCCTTTTCATTGATACTGTCAATGAGTATCATATGATTTGATTCTTGATAATAAAAAAAAGTCAGTCTCATAGTTTAACCATAATCTTTTTCATCTAGCCATGCTAATAACAGCATTGAGACCAACTGACTGCAAGAAATAACTGTACAAGATAAAATACGAGCACAATTAAAAGTTTAAAAAAGTGTGTTATACAGTTAAACATTTTAACTCATTTTCTCACTCCAAATTAGACAGTCTCTATTATTGCTGTTTTCTGGCACTTATATGTAATTGAAAATTCAAGTCCAGGTATTGTTAGAATGTCTCTTTTTCTTTTCACCAATCCACCTGCTATTGTTTTTCAAAAACAATTTACAAACATTATTTAACTATAAACAGATACTGAAAGAAAACTATTAAAAAACAACATCCAACTCAAATTACTTAATAAGTTGAAGTAGAAATTTTGTTTACACCATTAGTCTAACACTACCTGATCTTACATATAAAAATTACAATACCACATGTTTAAAACTCAGGTCATAAATCTAAGCAGTCTTTATTTATTAAACACTGCATTATATAAACATAGTTAAAGTGTTGTATAGCATTTCTTCCAGATATTTTAAACACACATACATACATGAATGCTAAAAAACTCACAATTTTTAAAAAACAATGATTATTTTAGACACAATTCTATAAAAATGAGATTGTTTCCAGTCTCCAAATTACTAAAATACAATAACCTCAGTAGTATACATCAAAACATGTTGAGTGTATGAGATTGTTTTCCAGTCTCATCGGGTTTTTACCACTTTTTATCCTGTACAGTAAGTTATTGAATTTTAGAAATTTGGAGACTGGAAACAATCTCATTTTTATAGAATTGTGTAAAAAACAATCATTGTTTTTTTAAAATTGTGAGTTTTTTCACATTGAACATTATACATATATACTTATTTCAGTAATTTATTTCTTAAAATAAGTATTTATAAGTTTAAAAGAGCTACAAGAAATGCTATATATAACACTATGAAAGGGCAAAGAAACGTGTCAAGCAGAATTAAGCTTTAATTGTATTATTTATACTTCAGATTAATCATTCAAAATGGCATTTACATCACCGATTAAAAGAACAATGGATATCCATGTACAAAAAAAACAGCTTTAGAGTATAATAATCACAAGGCAAAGTGACTGCACAACAAAATGCTTGACCTAAAGGAACTGAAACTCTCATCTGAATGGTAACAAGAGTTAATTAAGAATATCTTCTGATCAAACCAAACTACCTACACAGCACAAAAACTAAAAATTAACCCTGTAAATGACATAGTTAGTTTAATATACAGTATCAGTCTAAGTAATCAGTAACTGTTTCATGATTTCTAAAACAAGATTAATAATTACTTTTTACATGTTAAATCACAGTGTACTAAACTTCAAGTAAAGATCCAAATTTCAAAAGACATCAATCTCTGAACATCTATTATCAGTTTCAGACAGCAGCTTAGAATGAGCTTATTGTGAAACCTGAAGAATAGAAGTTGCCAAAGTGGTCTAGAACGTGTATAGTCACCATTTACCCTCCTACTTCAATTACAAACTAAAAATAATACTGAGTATATGAGTCTATCCTCCTCCATGACTCACAGCACACTTACAATTATATATATATATATTTAAATTTTAGCTATAAAATGGTACAAATTAAACTCAGTATTTTACTTTTGGCAAGTATATTTTCCTGCCAATCAACCTTGGTGCACATTTTCACCTAAATACAGTCTCAAAATAAAAAACTAACTGCTAAAAATGTCCTCAAATGGGTTATTTGATAATTTTGCTTGGCATTTGCCAAACAATTCATTCAAAGAAAAATCATGAATAGGAAAAGAACTGATACGACGAATATATATATATATATATGTATGTATAATTACCCTTTAAAAACTTTCCATATAATAATGTTTTCATAAATTAAAAAGCACTTAATGTTGGCATATTTTTATAATATATGAGCTAAATGTTATTTTAAAAGGAATTTATTATTTTAATATTACAGAAAAAAAGTTCAGCAAGTAGCATGGGCAGAACATTAATTCATACAGAATTCAATACTCATTATTTCAATTCCTCCAAAATATTTATCCTTAGGTTGCTGAGTAAATGTACTTTAATGAAGTATATTGATGTTAAAAGTTAGAATTTATATATTTCATTTACAAAAGATTGAAAAGGCTACACAGTACCTTTATTACAATACATATGTTTGGATTTAAAAGTAGTAAGCACCTCAGTAAGCCTTAGCTTGCCAATAATGTAACAATTTTTAAAATCATTGTAATGATGTCTTGGAGTTCAATTAGCTTTTTAATCTCAACTTTCAACTTTTAATTGGTTGATACGGGAAGTTTTATGTTATAAAAGTTAAATAAAAAAGTTGTGAGATATAGTTTATTTTTGTTGTACGAAATGTCAAACCAATTTTTGTGACAAAATATTACCGAGCATTGAAGCCTTTTCCCTGTCGTTTACAGCCAATCCACTGACAATGATATTCAGCATCAGAGCCCTGTTGGATATGGTTCCAATTAACATGTTCAGCTAGTTCATCTCGATCAATACATAGCTGCTCACAATCTAACCACTGACATTTGTAGGCCGATTCTCTGTGTTGATTTTGATGGACTTTACTTGCATCAGAAAATTTCTAGAAATATCCAACATCCTATTTAGACACCTAGGATTTTTTTTGATGAAATTATGAAAAATATGCAATTGACATTTCTCCTTACAAATCATTCTACTTTTGTTAACAAAGGCTCTTTTTTTTATATATAGATTATGGGCAATAAACTAACTGTCTTCAAAATCACAAATACACTTGGTAAATTTACAAAGTAGATTATAACTCTGAAAATATTAAATCATGACTTTTTTACAATCAACTGTTCTAAAATTGAAACATATGGAAAGTTACAATAACTATAAGCCTGCTTTTTACTTCCTAATAAATATCTTATTTTAAGATATCTATCTTAAACAAGAACACTGCTATTGCTTACTGGCATCTTGTAAAAAATAATGTCATATTTGGTTATCTGAATCACTAAACCCCTTTCATTTATCAAATTTTAAAAACAAAAATAGTTAATGAGCTAAAAAATGTTACTTTTAATCTTATCACAATAAAAAACACAATATTTAACCCTATGCTGTGGCCATCATGACTAATGACTATAAAAATATAATCAACTGATAGTGAATTTTATACCATGGCTATATGACCATGCAGTGACCACAGAAAAACAAACACATCCTCTTCATAATCAATCAGCAATTAAAACTAGCAAAACTTACTGCTTCCGTTTTAATTTTAACTCCAGAATTTTCAAACAAATGTAGCCCATTCTCTAACAATCCATGAGAAATTAAGACAGCTGATACAACAGGTGATTCTATCAAACTAGAAGATTCAATATTCAAAGTTTGATTTCTGTAGGTTGTCTGGTTTAATGAAAATTTAATATTTTTTTCATCACTACGAGGCCTCAGAAAACTCCCTTTGGTCAGTTCTTTCTTCCTTTCCAGGTCGTCAGAAATGTCATCAGTAGGTGCTGAAGCATCTGTTATGTCAATTAAAAAAATCAAACTGTAGGCATGATACTTCATATAACCATTTTGAGTTAGGAAAATCTTTAAAATGACCCCAGGAAAAAATGGTATTGTTACATAATGCACTTACAAGTCATTAAAGAAATTTTTATTGTGCATATATTTAAACATGAACTAATTCACTGGTAAACTTAATAGAAACTTTACCTCTCATAGTTTCTGGGTGTATCATTTTTCATTGTTTTATTACCTACACAATATCTCTAAGTATCAACAGATTTATTTGATGTTACTTGGTTTGTTGCTCATAGACTATGGTTATAAGTGTATTAGATGGCACTGATGGTGCTATATTAAAGGCAAACAATATGTTGTAAGGATTAAAGGAGTTATTAGTTGTTATCGATGGCACTACTTACTTAATACACTCATGCAGTGTGTTGCTGTTGGCTCTAATGGTAATCAGAATTATTTGATATTAATGATCACTGTATTATAAAAATGATATAGTATCATAGATGAAGCAAATGTATTTTTTGTTACTGGTGGAATTATACTACATGCAGTACTATGTCTAGATTACAAAAACATTAACAAATAATTTGGTAAAAACTAAATGCGTACTCATTCTCTTAATATCATTTATTGTATGCATCAGTTAATATCTTATTTTATTATAGCAATCGAGTGGTGAGGCATTAAACAAATAAATGCAGCATGTAAATGTACTTAAAACGAAGGGTCTGTAAAGACTGAATATGATAACTGTGTTTGATAGGTAATAGAAATGAAGCTGGAATTATATGTTTCATAACAGTAACAAAAAATGAAAATGTTTCAACCGTAAATGGTTAGGATGCAATGTAAGTTAAATTCTTGTTGAATCACGCACTTGTAAACACAGGAGGTGCAATTTATTAATATTTATGCACATGTGATACATTTTCTTCTGTTTTTCCATTACAGAAGGCTCTTTCTAAGAAAAAAAATATTATTCAAATAAAGCAATGAATTTTCTTTAATACTAAAATACTTCAGAAATGGTCCCTATTTAAAGTGAAAAAATAAATACTATAATATTTATCATAGGTTTTTTTTATATTCAGAAATGAAGCAAATAGTTCTGAAAATTCCTGTTAACTATTTAAGAACTGAAATAAATTCATAATCTATTTAACAGCAATATACTTTTGCTAACAATTGCATCTGTACAAATCTTGATTATTAAAAAGCTCTTTGCAAGAACACAGAATTTTTTAGAATTAAAAATTACAGTATTTTGAATATATTCGAAAAAGCTCAAAATTCATGAAACATTTGCTCTTAAAAGATCTTCAGCATATGAAAAGGTCAAACACAGAGTGAAGTGCAGAAAAGAGATCATTAATCTAAACATTACAATTTGTCATGGAAGACCAATCAACTGTAATTTTATGAAAAACAACAACAACAAACAAACAGGAACTTGGAGTAAGAAGAAGTTTCTTAATAAATCTAAATAATTATTTATTAACGGGAAATGTACATAAAATTTTAATACACAATTTTCATAATCTATGTTAATTTCAAAGACCGACATGGACAGTAAAAATAAAGTATTTAAAAACGTTTTGTTATTGTTGTTGTCATGAGTAATATCAAATGTATTTCTACTTGCTAGACCTGACATTAACTTATTAGGCATACACATACACAGAAATATTTTGTGAATAATCCTTTCACTTGAGAAAATAATTTATTTCTATCGATATTGAAACTTGTACTTATATTAATTCATATTCATATTTCATGGGTTTTCCCAGTATTATTCCCTTCTTTGCCACTTTTTAATTTGTTCATTACTTTTTATGCTTTTTACGTAACAGTGATAGTTTCGTATTTAAATCATACACAATATGTTCAGCCAACGGCACGTGTACGTATTAGTGTGTTAATGACGCTACTATTGGCTGCTATTCAAGTGCGAGAATCGAGCGCTTCGCTAGTTCTAGCGTCACAAGAATGACGATGCCCTTGGCGCTGGTCCCTGACTGGCACTGATACAAGGTCACCTTATGCGTTATACCATCTGTCTTTACACCCACGCAACTAGACTCGCTTCACATATGCAATATGGAAAATATATTTTATTGTTAAAATTATTATTTGAGGCTTTTACCCTTTAACTCACGCTTACCACATGTGTAGGTAAGAGTACAAACGAATAAAAATGCATAAATAAATATGAAGATTAACTCTAATGGTCGCATATCTTTATAAAAACTTTAAACAGATTATTGGACTTATTCACTACCAGCTTTGACTTAATTTGACTGATGTCTGAACTATAAAAAAACATCTATATGATTGTGTGTAAGTCATTTAATTGTGATTTCTGTAATTTTATATGAAATAATACATATATATATTTGCTACAAAACAAACGAAATATCAAATGTTAACAATTAATCGATTACCTTTATCATACTTTTCGTAAACCACAAATTCCTTTCTCCTAGTAAGAAGCCAAAATGGCAAGTGAACCAAATATTACATAATTTTCATTGTTTCCTTTCAAGATTTGTTAAAAAAATAACAATTAATTGATTATATTTATCTTAATGAGTACGTTTCGCATTTTAGGCCAACTACTGATTATAATACTAGCTACAAAATTACCGCACAAGAACACATTGTTAACAAGGGACAAATTTCGAGCGCAAGAGTTAAAAGTTGCGAAAAAGCTATATTAAACTTTTTAAATATAATAAGCAGTGAGTTGTGGGGAAAACATTTTGCAAACTTTTATTATGGGGGTACATGTGTGCCGTTAATAAAAACAGTAAGCATAAGAAACTGTTAAAAATGTAACTTTCTCTATTCATAACGCAATTGCCCCCATCCCCCCGAGAACATTAGAAGAACCAGAGAGTAGCGTACCAGTTTTATGCTCTTATCGTATGTGCTGACCTAAGAAGCGTAGGATTTTAAAGCGCTCTGTTAACACATTTCTCTGTTCAACTTGAAAGTTCATCCACACTTTACACTGGAAAAGTTTTGAATACATTACGTGGCAACTTTTACCTGCAGTATAGCATGATTTCTGTCACAAATATTACTTATTAGGTTCGTTGGTTTTATTGTTTTGCTAACTTTCGACATTTAAGTTAACATCGAAACAACTACAAAACAAGGTTTAACGCAGCCGCTTGTTCAGCCATGTGTTACCTTATTTATGTATAAAAAACAAGCAGTTGTTATTGTTTCTTGGTGTTAGTGTACCACTTAAACTTTTTTATATCAAGAAAAAATAAAGCTTCATAATACGGTTATTACCTCCTTCAACAATGCCTGATTTATATATAAAAAAAAAAGATTGTCAATTACACTAATGATAGAGTGTAGGGCACAAGTCATTCACTAGGTTTCCAAACTTTGAGTCTTGAAGAAGATAGCTGTTTAAAGAAGAAAATGAAAAGCAACCCTATCTTGCCCTAAAAAGGTTGATGCAAATAATTAGTACTCCCGTCAAAACTAAACCTAAGCTTCTCTGTAGCACAGTAATATAAACTCGTTATGACTACTTTGGGGAAAAACTGATTTGGATATAGAACCTACATTATTGTTCAATTGATATTTAAAAGAAAGCAAAACAGACTGTATAAATTCTAGTGCCACAGTGGAAACCAATATTATATCTTATAAAAAAAATTGTAATTGAAATGCCCATTAGAAAAAGATGCCAAAGTACATGTTTCTTCTGAATACTGCTTACAAAAAAAGGCACTCTGTCAGAAAATTGTTTTACATTTTGGTGTTTAAGGTTTGCCTTTCTTGTAAATTTTAGTTTTTGAAAAGAAAACTTGAAGGAGTTAATGTTGTTTTTCTCCAAACTTTAAATTAATTTTAGAGAGTGTCAAAGAATTTTGTTTTTGTTTTTTTTAGTTTACACATTTTTAAGAAAAACAAATGACACAACTACTATTATGGATGCACACTTTATATCTTTATGCAACAAGATTCTCAAATTACTTATGAATGATGTAAAAAAAGGTGAAGCAATTTCTTATGAATTTCTTAAAACTGGGTTAAAACGTATCAAAATTATTAACTTATTTTTAACACAGTTGATTTGTTTGTTTGTTGTAAAGCACAAAGCTATGCAATGGGGTATTTATGCTGTGCTCACCAAGGGAATTGAAACTCGTATTTTATCATCATTTACATAGTTGAAGGAATAAAAATCTTTTAAATAAGGGATAAGCTTGCAAATAATAACAAAGGTGAAGAAGAACAAAAAAAACACTAGAGGAAAGTGTTAGTTGTGTGATTGACTTACCCTAACAATACTGAAATGTATAAAGTGGTTAGGTAATTTGTCAGTAGGTGTGTATTTATTTCATTAAATATCTGTTAGTGTAATTTCCATACTTTTGTGATTCTATTTATGTTTCAAGTATTATGCATTGAACTCTCATGTTTTTTGTTCTCTATACAGGGAAATTAGTTTCACTTACCTGACTCTCTTCTATCTGTGCTCATCCTTCTTGCAAAAAAAAATTTATCATGGAGTCACATGTGATGGGATGACATGCTAAAATATCCTGAAAAACATTGATTGCCACTAATAAGTAACAACTTAAAAAATATCTAGAATTCTTTGGATACTAAAACCTGCAAATTTACATGTTAATTCTATATTTAGTACTACTACTAATAAAGAATACAGGTATGATTCAACTAAACACGATCTCAATGAAGATATCAACACAAAGGATAACTAACCCTGTTTACAAAAAGATATTCTTAGTTTGCATGATGTTAGTTGGAAATAATTTAAAAAAATTATCAAACGAAATAACTATACAATATTTCCAATATATAAAGAACTGAGGAAAGATAATTACAACTGATATGAAATTTGTTCTTAACTTACTACAAATTTACTTGGAGACCAAATTCTAAAATTAATACACTATCCTAAGGTAAGAGCTATGAATTTATGAAGTACTTAATAAATTACTGCGAGTTGATAAAGAATACTGAATGCTGGATCAGCTTAACTCAACTCTTAAACAGATTATTTACTTTTTTTTTTTAACAAGGTGAAGTTTGCCTTTAAATCCTGTCTGGCTAGTATTATTTCTCTGCTTAGCCATTCATTGAGTATTAATTAATGAATTATTTTTTTATCTTTTGCAAAAAACAAAATAAAAAATATTGGTTCCCACAATATTTTTTAAAAGAAAAGCTATACTTAACATATATATTAATTTAATAGATATGCAAATTTTTATTTAAGGTTGTTTATGATAGAAAAAAACACGAACTTGGCTAACATAAAGTTGCAAGTTCCATACAAAGAATTTTTTAATTCAAATTTAAGATTTAAGTTTTATAGTCTTATTTAAGTGAGTGTGATGGATAAACTAATTAACTAAAGTTATCATATTATTCATAACTTAGAATTCATGGAATAGAGCCAGGGATATATCTTATCAAAAATAATGCCTGTTTTGAGAAATAGTTGCTATTGCAATATGCAAACTTACAATATGTTACCTCCTCCCCCCACCCAGTTAATATATAATTGTTTTATTGTGCTGTCTTTTAGGAAAGAAAACTAGAACATAATACCTACTGTACAGAAAGCAACAGTGATATTTTCCATTGGAATGTCAGGTGATGTCCCAGGGATACAACATCCCTTGTTTTGCATTGAGCAGGATCATCAGTAACGTGGATGGTGCCTGCATCCTGAGAAGAATGGCATTGTAGTGTACCCCATATAATGCCATGTTTTCTCAGTGTGGGATAAGATAATTGAGGATAAGAAAATTCACAGAAAGCTACTCTGAGATAATAATATACTAAAGTAAAAATGTCAAAATACACTTTCCTTTAAGTCTGGAATACATTTGTGAATGTAGAGAATAAAGTGTGTTTAACTGCACTTAAACTCGTGTTCAGTCTTTTTTTGCCTGAGACTCGTTTTATTTTAAGATAATTCAGATTTTACTCCATAAATCATTATCTAACAGGCCTCCAGTTATTCTCTGGTTCCTATCCAATAACTCAAAGGTAAATCTGAGAATACCATACTATGTCTATTATACATATACAACTACAATGTTAGATTACTAATTGTTTTAAACCCATAAAAAAGATAGTACAGCTATAGTTCAATTTAAAAAAGAACACCAACTTTAAAATTAAACAAAAAATCAAGTTTATACAATAGTGTTTTGAATTACTGGTCTGTTTAATCTAGTGGAATGATACTCAAAACATTAGCCTTTGTTAGCAATATAGTTTGAAAGTTGTATAAAATGTCATTTCAACTTTGTACTTTTAATTTTTTATATTCTAAGCATTAAAGGTTTTGAAATATCAGGGACATTCTTTTATTAATTACAAAACTTCAAATTTTCATGTTTTTTAAAGGTATCTTCTATAATATTGTGTATTTACTTGTGTAAATCTTTTATTCAATTCAAAAATGTGGGCCAAACATGGCATAGTGGTTAGTATACTAGATTCTGAATCTGAAAGTCCATGGTTCACATCCCATTGCCATAACTTTACATTCCATACTTTGTGACTGTAGATACATGTGATGGTCAAATCCCACCATTCAATAAGAGTAGACAGGGGACACTGTTGACTAGCTCCTTCCCTCTAGTCTGTCAATTCAAAATTAGGAATAGCTGGTGTATGTAGCCATTGTAAAGTTTTACATGAATATGCTAACAAAACAAAAAACAATTTAAAGTATTAATATCAATGATGTGTTAATTATTAAAAATTATTCATAAATTATCCTTGTTCCAGCATTCTTGATGTATCTGGATTAAAGTTTGTTTAAAAAAAGGAAGACTTTAGTTATCATACTTTAATGTTAAATCTATGAATCTTGCATATTTTCTCCATAAAGGTTTAATTCTGCAACAATGGAGTTTTTGCTTATGTTCAGGACATTGTTGTAAAAATGTAACCTCAATTGCTTTTATATTTCACTATAATTTTCCAAATAAATAAATATCTAACGTTTTACTATTCCCAAATTTTTTGACTAATTAATTTTTTCATTTTTTTTTGTACATGCAATGTATCTTTTTGTGTTTCTTGGACGTACTACTATTTGTTTCTAAACCAAAGGGGAATAATTCTTATAAGGTATTTCTAGAATTTTTCATAATTTGAAATTCTTAAACAGATTTTATTGATAAGCTTCCAATATGATAATTTATATTACTTGTAGATATTTTGTAATAATATAATTTTTTAAAATGATCATTATTATTTATTGTTATTGTTGTTGTAGCTCATCAATGTTCACATATTTGGATTGTAGGGTATTTAGTATTTGAAAGATCATTCCTGTCTGCCAGATATCTAGCCACTGTGAAAAAAATTTGAATTCATAACATGAAATAGTTTTTATGTCCTCACCAACTTTTCAATGATAAGGAATTTTTCACATTCTCCTGCATGTCTTGGAGTTTGAGCCTTCTAATATAACTGGGGCATCAACATTTCATATTTGCTAAACTATCTAAACAAGTCATATTTTTTAAGTTCTATTTTTCCTACTTTTAACAATTTTTTTCAAATAAGGTTGAAAAACATACCATTTTAATTAAGCTGTCCTCTACTACTTCTTCACAGTTCTATGACTAGTACAAAAAACTACCAAACCACTGATCACTGATATTTTTTGCAACAAGTAAGAAAAACACAGATGAAAAAAATGACAGATGGAATATAAGGTCATCAATTTGCAAACATAAAATTCTGACAGTTGAAATAACCCAAGTACAACAAACAGCACATTCTCCTTAAATCAACTCCCCAATTCCAGAACACAAAGAGGGAAGGAATCTGTTTGAAAACAAACCTGCTTCTAAGTTTCCAAAGCTTCCACTCTTGTTCATAATATCACTCTCTTTCTCCATTTCAAGTAATATATCTAAATCACATCAGAAATGCACAAAAGTTGAACAAGTACATTTGGTCCTTTAAGGTTGTCCCTGCACACCCACCCTTTAGAAAAGTAAATATTTTAACCAATCATTTACTTTTCAGGAAATCATCAATTAAGAGATGGCTTCCATTACTGCCAAAGGCAAATTATGCCAATAAGCCTGTGAGTAAAAATAAGATTGTTTTAACTGGAGCTTAGCCTGTCTTTCTCCAAATCTTAAGCTTGGGTTCTCTTATCATTCTGTCTTCAAAATACAAAATGAATAAATAAAAGGCCTTTTATCATAATGGTCCCCTAGATAATGAAGTTAACTTCAATAAGATCATGTCTTACCATTCTTTTCTAAAGAAAAAAGAAGTTAAGATAGTGACCATACATCTCCAATTTCTGGGGACAGTCTCCAGGTGAGGAATTTTGTCCCTGATGGGAAAAATGTCCCCAAAAGTGTGCCAGTTTTAAAAAATTCAATCAGAAATACCATTTTATTTATTACAAAGTTTGCATCAGAAATACATTCAGCCAATTATTGTTTGTGTTGTTAGCTTAAGTATAACATTGTCATTTGCTGACACTAATGTAGTTGCTATAGATATGACTGAATAATACATGTTCTTTTTTCTTTTTTTAGATAAATAAAATCCTTAAACAGATATATTCATCTGTGAAATACAACTGTAAATTCCAATATTTCCAAAGTTTATGATTTGGAAAAAAAAATACAGGCTAAGCCCCAATAAGTTTTATTTTTGTAATAGTAATAACATGATTAGCAAGTGGAATTGAGTTTCCATTTGCAGCAACGGAGACTGGCATCTTACAAGAACTTAAGACTAGGAGAGTAATTGTAATTTCAAGAAAAATAAGAGGTTGGTTTAATTGTTTACTTTTTATTGAATGGATTTTCAAGGGCAGTCCAAAAGTAGAAGGGCCATATGGTTACTTGTTGTTCATAACTTACATTTAATGATTTATTATTATAATTAAGTGTGATGTCTCAGAAGAACAAGGTATGCTATAGTTATTTTGAAATATTTTGTTTCTTTTTATTTTAAATGTGTAATAACTTAAATAAGTATCAAAATATGTAACTAGTACTAGTATTATACTCACAAGTCTACTAATAGTAATAACGTAACAAGTCGTGCCAAATATTCCTGCACAAAGTCAGCGGAATTGTTTAACAGCAAATTTCAAACGATAGATTACACCGTACGAATATAGGATATTCAGATACTAGGCACATCACATTCACAGTCTAATTGAGTAATTGATTTGTAAATTGTAAACTCAGTATAGACACCTGTGTTGTGGGAGAATAACTAAGCATAAACTGTGTGATCCTAAAGCGTCATTGGCTTGTAAGTAACAGCATCTTATTTAAATAACTAATTCAAAATGATCTAATTTTTAATACGTACCTTTCACTTATTTCTCAGTACATAAATAACTTAGTAGAAGTAGTACTAGTAGTAATTTAATAGATCCATTTCTTTCCTATGCTACAAAATTCAAGCCCATGCAGCGCCATCTAAGTCTTAACTTTATCGAAATACAAAAACTAAATATAAATATAAAGAAAATATTATAATATGCAGTCTCAAATTTAAAATAGCAATTATTTTCAAGAAGCCATAATTTTTATGGTATAAACATGATAAATATTGTTTAGCACAATTCAAATATTATAGTCATTAAATAACTTTAAATATTCCTATATAATCTCCTGCAAAAAAAGTTTAAGCCGCAAACTCAGTGCTCGTATTTCATCATAAATATGATTTATTTAGGTGTGTAAAATCAATGTTTTTTGTTGTTTTTTTAATTGAGAAACTTTAATTTGTAAAACACATTTTGGAGACAGGAAAAAAGGTTATGCTCAAGCTGTTTATTTCTTGTTTTGACAATAGAGCTTCGTCCGCAAATTCGATAGAAACAATTGGTCTTGAACATAAAGACACAGAACAGATTATTTTATTTTTTAAAATAATGTCTTTTTGCTTGTTTCAGAAACTCGCCCAAAATTATACAAGAGCTATCTGCCCTAGCCGTTTCTATCTTTGAAGTAATAGACTAAAGGAAAAACAACTAGTCAACAGTACCCATTGCTTTAGGAAGCAATTTAGGAATGGTTCACGCCATTGCCACAGCTAAACATGAATCTTGAGCCTTTTTAACTACAAATACTGCATACACACAACTTAATGTATTGAATAAAAGAAGCAAGTTTTGATACATATGTTATAGCTATGAAAAAGTGGTCAGGCCATAGCCTGACTGGCCTTACCTCTTCTTGAGGCCTTGGGCACCTACTTCACACTTTTTTGTCACTGAACAGTTATGGTTTAATTTTGAGCTTAGAAAAGTGTTATTCTGCAGGCTGAGATTACGAAACTATCCCATTTTAAATGCAGAACAGGCTGAAACACATTTTTCTGAAATAAAATTTAAACATTGGATTTTTGATAGTTAACATGACAGTAAGATTTAGTTAACGTTATCAGTATTCATTCAAACATTATTAAATAGCCAAAAATTATGAGTTATGTTAATATTATGCGCTGAAGGCGAGGTTCACTCATTATATAAATTATTTGCTTTTATTTTTTTAGGATGGTACCATACTTAAGAGATAATATTTTTGTTTGTGGTATTTCGCGAAAAGCTACTCGAAGGCTAACTGTGCTAGTCGTTCCTAATTTTGGAATGAACTAAAAGAAAAGCAGTAAGTGAACTCCACTAATCACCGACTTGGGGTACACTTGATCAACAAATAATGAATCTTCAGGTTATCATATTTACATCTTCTTCATTAGCGGTTAGTAGTATTTTTTTACAATATCCGAGCTTAATTTGATTGTTGTTGAATATGCAGCTACACAGTGGGCTATCTGTGCCCTGCCCACCGCGGGTATCGAAACTCAAATTTTAGCATCATAAGCCTGCAGACTTACTTCTGAGCCAGTGTTTTTAATCGTTATCATTCTATCAAAATATTTTGTGTCATTTATTAACTTAATAGTTTCTTAGCTCTGTTTCTACAACAACAAAATTTTAATTATCAGTGGCATTTTATATAATGCATGCCGATAATTTCGTAACATGTTATTGCATGTTATTGCTTTCGAAAGCGCTCGGGTTATAGGGTATCGTAATTTTTTGAGTTAAATTGATTTCTTTAACTACGTATTTTCCTAACATCGTGAATGTTATTACATAAAATATTAAAAACTCTAAGATTGTATAGTGTGTGATTTACCATTATATTTCAGTCTAAATAACACAAAAGGTAAAAGTTTTTGCAATGTTCGAATTGAGATTATACACAACTTAATTAAATAAGTAGATACATTTTAGGGTGAGTTCATCAGTATCGGTTTTGAACAGTTTGAAATTATATTATCTAGTCAGACATTCATTAGATAAGAAAAGGATTCCTTAACAAAATCTTATGTAATTGATTTCAAGAAACATGTTTACTAAAGGTTTAACTTGAAATTAACGATTGATTTTGTTGGTAACACATCTTTGCAACGGGCCTGAATTATTTATACGTATAAAAGTTGTTGTTAAGCTCAAAGCTATACGAAGGGCTTTGTGTGCGCTCTGCCAACCACGGGTATTGAAACCTGTTTTCTAGCGGTATATGTCCGCAGACATGCCTTTGTGCCACTGGGGGTTTATATGTATAAACATCATATATCAAGTAAATATTAACACATAGAAAAATAGCAGGAACATTCTTTTCTTGAATATATTTTTTGATAAACAGCTTTGAGAAATTAAAATATCTGACTTGCTTATTCCAATAATAGTTTTTATAACAGCTTCACTTATATAAGGTACGAGTCCCGTGATCTACATTTATAAATAGGATTGTTACTATTGTATCTGAAGTTTAAGCTTTGCAATTTTATAGCGAGTAAATGTAAATTATTTATAAGCATTGACTCTAACCATATAAGACCGTTTACGTGTATCGTTTTTGTCATGTTATTTTAAGTTAATGTTCGATCTCTGCTTAATTATTAATGGGAGTTGTTAACGTATGTCAGCTGTACTTATTTAGTATACCTTTGTTTGATGGATCGCTTTGGGGTTTCGTGTTAATGTTCTGTTTCAAAGTTATGGGTTTAACAACGATATTGTTTGGAATTATTTGGAAAAGTTTCATGGATATATAAATATGCGTAATGTGTACACACACACTCACGCTTATATATATATATATTAGCAATTGTTTAAAAACTTCGATGTTAAAAAAATTTCTTTAATTATTATGAGAAAAATATTAATTGATACAGAAGAGTAAATTCAACGCGTAAACTTAATAACAGCATTTGTGTACACTGATCTAGTCCGTACTTAAACAGCAAGATGGGTGCATTTACGGTACTCGTGAAAAATGTGTTTGTCTGTTGTTAATTCTAACATTAATCAAGACTTATGGAAAATTCACGTAGTACCTGGCCAGATAACAAAGGTGTGCGATGTTTTGTTTGTTTTGAATTTCGCGCAAAGCTACACGAGGGCTATCTGCACTAGCCGTCCCTAATTTATCAGTGTAAGACTAGAGGGAAGGCAGCTATTCATCACCACCCACCGCCAACTCTTGGGCTACTCTTTTATCAACGAATAGTAGTATTGATCGTCACATTATAACGCCCACCCAGCTGAAAGGGCGAGCATGTTTGATGGGACGGAGATTCGAACCCGAAACCCTCAGATTACAAGTCGAGCGCCCTAACCACCTGGTTTTATTGTCTTGAAATTTTTACATGTTCTACAGTAATTCCTATATGCTGAATCCAAAAATGATATCCATTTTTCTCCATCACGTACAGATTTTTCACAAAACGTCATAACGCAATATATATAAAAGAAAGACCCCAACACGTAATTTTGAGAC